AACAGATGGGATTTAGAGTCCTTGTTAACATCATGATCAGGGCTACACTTTAGCTAATTTTATTGTAAGTCACCCATGGGCCTAGGATACAAATATTTAAATAAACAAACAAAACAAACAAGCAAATAAATAAATGAAAGCTACAATGATCTACAAAGGCCCTTAAACAGTGCAGGTTGAATTTGAAACCAAACTCTCTCTGGACTACCCCATCAGGCATGGCATAAATAGGTTGCCACCAAATAGCTTGCTATCACCCACCCACCACCATCTTGCTCATGCTCCAAGACCAAAGGGTTGTTCTCCTCCTCCTCCTCCTAATTGTGCTCCAGAACCTGAAGGAGAAGTCACAAAAAACTCATTTCACTACAAAAGTATTGTTGGGTATTTGCCATTCTTATCTGGAATGAAGGACCATCTTCTGTTCACCTGGCAGCATGATGGTCTATTTAACAGCACCACCCAAGCCTAGGTTTCCTGATGAATTAGTATGCAGAGGGATCTTGCAGCACCTTTTACAAGTTGTAGCATAAGCTTTTGTAGACTTGTTCTACTTCCTCAGATGCCACAAAAAATTTCCATCCACACTGCATAAATAATCCAGGGTGATACCAATTTAACCCATGGCTCAAAGCTATGAAATTCTGAGAACTGTAGTTTTTGAGACGTTAAGGAGATTATTGCACAAGCATAAAAACATGACTTATCTCTCCTGAATTCAAGTAAAATCCAGGCTGCACTTGGGTCCTATCACATGGCTTTTGTTGCCAAATCCGCAATCTGAATGAAGCCTGAGTGCAGTCTGGCTCACTTAACTCACTTTATGGCCATTTTTCAAAAGTCGGAAGCTTCTCTGTCAGAGAGCCTTAGCCTGCTCTTTCAGAGAGCTCTGGTGCCACAATAAACTACAGTTCCCAGAATTCCATGGCAGTTAAAGTGGTATCAACCTAGATTATTTCTGCACTGTGGATGCAACTCAAATCTACAAAAGCTTATACTACAATGTCTTTTGCACAGTTGGGTCTAATCTGCACTGAAGAAATAATGCAGCTTCACATCATTTTAAATAGCATGGCTCAATGCTATGGAATTCTGGGATTTGTAATTTTGTGAGATATTTAGGCTTTCTGTCAGAGAGCTCTGGTGCAACTACAAAACGACAAATCCTGCAATTGAGCTGTGGCAGTTAAAGTTGTGTCCAGCTGCATTATTTTTGTAGTGCAGTTTAAACCTAAGACTGCTATATTTTGGCCGTATTGTGAGAAGGCATTACTCACTAGAAAAGTCAATAATGCTTGGTAAGGTAGAAGGCAGTAGGTAAAGAGGAAGACCGCACTGGAGATGGATAGACCCAATAAAGGAAGCCACAGCCCTGAGTCTGCAAGACCTGAGCAAGGCTGTAGGGAGACTTATATTAAAGTCACTATAAGTTGTGGTCGACTTGAGAGCAGTTAACACCTACAATAGATAGCATTGTGACTTGGAGCACATTATTTTCCAGCTTTAGTCCAAGAAAGAGTTTACTCTGGCACCTGAAACTGTACAGTCCAGGACAATCTTCCATGAAATTGTTTGTATTACATTTATAAACTTTTCTTCATCTAGTAAGGGCATAGGGAAGTTCTCCACCTGAGTCTCTCTCTCTCTCGAGAGGCCATGTTTGTCAAAGAGGAATGCTAGAAGAGGATAAAAGAAAAAGCCAAGAACAGGACATCTGTGCTTAGGAAAGGCAAATGGTTATACTCAAGGAGACTTTTAAAGATACATTTGCATAGAAAATAAATAAATAAGCTTGTATTAAATTATTTAATTAATTGTGAAAACAACAATAATGTAATTTTATAATGTTGTTTCCACCAAAGGGTGGAACATCAAACTTTATATAACCAAAAATGGATGATAAAACACAACACTATAAAATGCTAACATACTAAAAAGATCTATCCAGCCCTTCAGTAGAAATTACCAGAATGGTTTATGGAAACAAAATATAGGTGGAGGAAAAACTCACCCCAGTTAATATCTTGATCATTACCTGTACATGACTCCATGTCAGCATGCCAGTGAATCCATTCTGGGTTTGAGTCTGAACTCTGAATGAGCTACTCAAGAATCTATTTTGGGGACTCTTAAGTTTATATCCATTACTTGACATACATCAGCAAAGCAACAGAATCCAGCATAAGTGGTGGGCAATCTCCTTTCCCATGCCAATACCCTCGATAACATCAAATCCAGCTCTGAGGAGCTTGCAACTCTCCTCCAACAGCTTTAGTGCAGTTCCTAAAGCTGGTGGTAGAGAGGAAGAGCAGAAAGTATTGTGATGTACTCCATCGCAGTAGTGGCTGGTGCCAGTTGCGCCACTAGGGTTGGTGTCACCTGGTGTGGCAACTCATGTTGTCATCCCCCACTGACCTCCTTCCCATACCACACCATACAGCATCCTTAGTGATGTTTTTGCACTAATGTTACTCATAAACCGTAATTCCCATATATCACCGAATGTAATGGTAATAGTTGTGATATGAAACAACCAGAAAAATTAAAATTATACCTTTAAATTACAATATCATACTCATAGCTCAAATGTATTTACCTTTACATAGTTTCATGTGGTTAAAGTGGAAATTTGGTAAAAATTAATGCTTTTAAAGAAAAATTAAAAATAATAAAATCTTTTTTTTAAAAAAAAATAACAAACTGGGGCATCTCCTTTTTCCTTCCAATGAACCTCTCCCCACTCACACCATCTCTTCAGTGTTTTAAAAGGATGCAGGTGAATGTCACAGCCTGTTTCTGGAAAAAGGCAGATGTGTGGGGAGCAATGGTCTCTTGGGGTGTCAGCCATATCCCCACACCCAACTAGTGATACCACTGGCTGGTGCCTCCTATGTCAGTGGCATAGCATATCTGTTCTGACTTTTAATCCATACTTTAAAGGTGCCATCGAAGATGCAGGACCTATTTTTGGAAAAAGGGTTCAACCACTTGGATAACTTCCTTTAAAGTTTGGACTAAAATATAGAGCAGATTCACTATTCACCATCATGGAAGCCACCCACTGTCACTGAACCTTAACAAGACCAAATCCAAAACATCATAAAATGCAAATACTAAATAGAGAGCATGAGTTGAAGTGCTGGTGCATGGTTACAGAGCATTCAAATGAAACATTTCATAATACAGGTATATCAGCAAATTATAAGGCTACTGATTAATTTAATGCACAGCTATTAATAGTCTGTATTGTGAGGGTTTGTCCACTTCATGAACAATTCACAATGCAAGGTTCTCTCTCGCTTGCTCTCTTTCTCTCTCTTTCATTCTTTTCCACCATCTACTGCTTTTCTTACTGCTTCCCCTCTTCTTTTTCTCTCACATTTGAAGCACTAGGGGGAAGTCCAGTAGTAATTATTTTTCTGAACAGCTGTCACAGTAACCTTTCCCGCACACTGTGGGAAGCTGGTACACAAGAGCTGGAATTCTAGGTGTATTGTCAAGAGAATTTGCTAGCAGAAGGTAGTTTAATTCTGTAACATTTAAGCAATAAAGCAAAAAATAGATGTGTTTTTTTTTAATGTTTTATAAGTCCATTTATTTACATATTATAACAAATGATTTGTTGGTTTGTGTATGTATGTGTGTGTAAAATGACTGGGGGAGATGAGAAATGTAGCTTTGTACAATGGAAGGGCACCACTCTGGAGAAGCATACTCAATGCTTTTTGTACTTTGTTTCCCTTATATGTTTATCCTTGTGCTATGAGAAGAGTCTCATTTTGATTTCTTGAAGACCAACAGTCTGGTAAAAACAGACAGGCTGCTTAGTACAGTCAAGCTTTCTATAAAATGCCATAAACCAATCTCTCTCTCTCTCGTGTCCTATGCACACTGCTCTTCCCCAAGAAATGTCATTAGTCTTATAAATAGAAGCTCTTTTGGATTCCAGTGAAATTCCCCAGATGTTTCACCCAAGCAACAACTGTCAAAGTTGTTTTGAATTTTGCTTAAAGTGAAATTTGGAGTATGTGGGACAAATAACTAGAATATGCTCTCTCTCTCTCTCTCTCTCTCACACACACACACACACTTTGAGATCCTACACAGTTGAGTGTAGTATAAGAGTTCTGCATATGGGACTCTGCTAAGGCTTCCCTGTCACTGCCTCCAAGAATAATTGTTGAACTATGTTCCCCCAGCAGCCATTCTCTTGCTTGTAGAAGGAGAAGGGGATTAGGGAAGTGTCTGATTCCATTCCCAGGGCCACACACAGTTCCATCATCATCCAATGGGGCCCTCTGTAGATCTCAATGGATCATGTCACTGCTTTGTGTCTCATTATGGGAACATAGCCAGATACTTCTCCATTCCCACTGTAATGAAATAAAATGGGTGGTGGTGGTGCTATCACAGCAACATGGTGAGACTGGATAGGGAGATTTGATAATGCAGAGGCTGGAAGAGTATACCAACCTTTAAAATGACCAAAAAACAAAAACAAAAACAAAAAACCAACTCTACCCCACATAAACAAGCATAAAGTGGATTTGCTTCTATCTATATCACTAACCGGATGCCACCCAGACACTTGCATGCATATATTGAAAAAATTGGGGATGCAAAGAAAAACATGCTTATTTAAGAGCCAGCCATTTATAAAATCAAGTATTTATGTTAATCCCTCCTGCCTATGCTATAAAGTTTGGGATGCAACTAAAAATATACTTATATAAGATAAAATTGTTTTTAGGTAATACAGTCGGCCCTCCTTATCCATGGATTATTTTATCCACGGATTCAAGCATCCACAGCTTGAAAATATTCCCAAAAAAGTATAAATCCCAAATAGCAAACCTTGATTTTGCCATTTTATATACAGGACATAATTTTACTATGCCATTGTATTTAATAGGAATTGAGCATCCATGGATTTTGGTATCCACGGGGGGTTCTGGAACCAAACCCCAGTGGATAACAAGAGTTCACTGTACAGAGTGAGAACCAGTATGGTCTAGTGGTCTGAATGTTGGACTAGGATTCTGGGAGACTAGGGTTCAAATCCCTGTAGTCCTGCTCTCTCAGCCTCAAAGGAAGGCAATAGCAAACCAACTCTGAAAACATAGTGCTAAGAAAACCCCATGAGGTTCATCTTAGGGTTTCCATAATGACTTGAAGGAACATGATAGTACAGTTGTAGGAAACCATTTTTGGAGGGGTGAAAGATTTTTCTCTCCAGATTCCTGTATGGGCCAGAGATATACAAGGGAAGGCATCATGTCTCTGGCCAAAATACTGCCTGGAATTTCTCTAGTCCATGTCTTAAGCAGTGGATCCAGCTTTGTTTTTTCTTTGCCATCCCCAAGCATAGATTACAATCACCCTCCATTTTTAGTCTTGAAGTCTGTAATCTTGACTATTCACGGAGGGGCAATCCCCATTGGTTAAAATGGCATGCATACCTGTGGTGCATGTGCAAAGCTGTGCGCAGGAGCATGTGGCCATTCAAGTCAATGGGGCTTGAATATCTATATTTTTTCATTTTTGCGGGGGTTCCTGGAATGGACCCCCCACGAAAAAGGGTGTGTGTGACTGTAGCTGTTATGGTGCTGATCACGCTAATAGCAGCTGCCAATAATAATAATAATAATAATAATAATAATAATAATAATAATAATAATAATAATAATAATAATAATTTTTATTTATATTTCCCGCCTCTCCCTATGGATCGAGGTGGGATTACACCAATAAAATGAGCAACAGTATACAAAATTACAATTAAATAAAGTAAATACAATAAATATAATAAGAACATTATAAAAATCAATAAGCAACAATTATAAAAGACAATAAAACAACCTGTGTGAGTAGGAGATCAACTCCACTTTGAGTTTTAGTCCAAACTTTAAAGGAACTATTTGATAAGGTTAAAGGTTCAGCACTTTGGAGAAGTGCCTTCATGTTTAAATGAAAATCAGGAATGGAATCATCACCCCATTGGCATGAGAGTTACTAGCTACCATTGCAAATTAATGATACAGTTGGCCCTTGGAATCTGCTGGGGTTTGGCTCCAGGACCTTCCATGGATATCAAAATCCATGGATGCTGAAGTCCCATTAAATACAATGGTATAGTAAATGGTGTACCTTATATTAAAAAAAATATCAAGATTTGCTTTTGATAATTTATATATTTTTCAACATTTTCAAACTATGGATGGTTGAATCCATGGCTAAAGAAACTGTACAACTGATGCTTCCCCCCACTGCCAAACCAAAACACAATACTGAACATGCCATCCCCAATTATCTTCATATTTTTTTAAAAAAGGTAAACCAGTATATTTTTGTCCTCCTCCATTTGTCTGTATGAACCTTACAGTAATTGGGTGAGACAGGATGCTATTACACTTAATACATCAGCCAGGGAAAGCTATGCAGAGATTGCCATTGATTCAGATCAATCCATTTTTTTTTTTAAAAAAAGTTTTGATTTGAATGCAAGACGCTAAGTGTCAAATAAATGCAGTTGTTAAATAGTGTGGCTATGGCATAATGAAAAATATCTTTCCCAAGTCCAGCTATTAGTCAGCTACTGTCATAAGTAGAGTTGTTTCAACATTATTATTTTAGAATAACAAGAAAGATGAGCACCTTTGGCTCACAGAGCATCAGTCTAATTGTGTTCATTTAGTATTTTCGCAGGGGAGAGGAAGAGAGAACTAAGGAATAATACACTTTGGTTGCTCACAGCTCTTGCTACCTTTTCTCGTGGAAGAGGAGAAGCAACACACCATCTAGGAGTGAGAGTACCTGTATATTTTTAGCTCTCTCCCACAGAGAATAACAGTGATAATGTAGGGCACTAGAAAAATATAACACATCAGTGGTCTCCAGCCAAAATGATTTAATGGGCTCAGGAACAATGTTGCTTGAGACAGAAATTGTAGCTTTGAGCATGGTAGAGAAAACACATACACACCCACACAGCATATATTTACTTTGCAGGGAGAAGGCAACATTAGAGATCAAGACTGGAAACATTGCAGATCTAGGCTTGGTGTGCTCTTTGAAGCATGAGGTGCCAAGTCAGCCATTTTGTCAGAGCAGTGAGCAATGAAGAAAGGACCAACCACAGAGAGTTGAAGGAATGCATAGACACAATTAGTTACATAGTTATGTATTGAAGAACTGATAAGAGGAGGAGGACAAGGAGGAGGACAAATGCATCACCCCCCCCAAAAAAACAACAAAAACCCACAACACAACAACAACAACAACAACAACAACAACATCAACAACAAAAGATCAATGGAGGGCACATCCGGACTGATTAAAATGACCAGAAAATCCCAGATTTTATTTCTGTTTTTTCCCCATTTTATTCTGGAGATCCACATACATTTTGTTTATCTCAGAATATTTTCTGCTAGCTCCCTGAATGATCAGAGACTTTTTAGACCAGACCCCCAGCTTGGTTTATTTTATTCCAGCATAAAATCAGAAAGAACAGGGAACAAAAATCTGGGACTTTTTAATCGGTCTGAATGTGCCCACAAGTAAGCTAAGGGTAAGGGAGAAAATGGGAGAAGGGGAATAAAACTGGGACATTTTAAAAACAGCTGAAAAAGTAGGATGGCAGAGGATTAATTGGGACTATCTCTGCCAGATTGTTACAGTTGGAGGAGGATATGTGATTTCGAATGCTGATGAAAATCTCAACACATGAAATTCCCCACAGAGGTGCACTGATTAGTTTCAAAGGAAAAGAACCATCAAATGAGCACATCACCAAACAAATATGAGAAAGGCTAGAAAGGATGGGGAGAGGAAAAACTGTACAAGTGGAACTTTTTAGCGTGTGTTTGTGTGTGTATGTTTGAGGTGTGAGATGCTTGCACATAGTGAAGATTAAACACAAAGAGAATAGAGGCCTCTTGCATGAACCTTGATGAAAACCAAGCACCTGGAAATAATTTGAAGCCCAGCAGCTGTTCATGGTTTTGTATTTTAAATTAAATGTGAAGACAAAAGCAATTATTTTATTTTATCTTGGGGGTAATTTGCCAACATGGAAGTACTCAGATCATGATTTTCAAACAGAGTCCCATCCAAATCAAAGATGAAATAAACATTATCTAGCAAAGCTTGTTATCTACTACAACCCATTTGACTTGATTGCACATCTGGACAGAAAGAGGATCTGGGGCCTCTGAATTTAGAGCAGAGGTTTTACTGCAGATATCTAATTAAACAGAAAATAGACTAAATGAACAAGACTCACTAGCCAAGCAAACTGAACATCCAAATCAAATGTGAATTAATTTATAATTGCATTACACATTTGCAACTGGTTGATACTTTGCTCTCTAGAACTTTTTCACACTCACATTTATAGTACTATATTCTACTTTTGATGCTCCCACACTGCACAGTTTAACACCGCTTTAACTGTCATGGCTCCACTCTATGGAATCCTGAGATTTGTAGTTTGTTATGGCACCAGAGCTCTCTTGACAGAGAAGGTTAATATCTCACAAAACTACAAATTCCAGAATTTCATAGCATTGAGACATGGCAGTTAAAGCAGTGTCAAACTGCATTAATTTTGCAAAGTAGATAACTCCTAAGGCAACATTCTATGGAATCATGAGATCAGCAGTTTGGGGAAGGGCATTGAATAGTATTTTCCAGAGAGCTCTAGAGGTTCACGAGATTATAAGTGCCAGGATTCCATAGGTAGCATGCTCCCCTGCCATGCAGGAAAACACAATTAAGGCACTGTCAACAGATGGTTATCCATCCTTTTCTTGAAACCTCTAAAGAAGGAGATTCCACCACTCCTTGGGGCAGCATGTTCTACTAGAAGTTCCTCCTAATGCTTAGATGGAATCTTTTCCCCTGTAGCTTGGATCCATAGCTCCATGTCTTAGGACGTTATCACACGTGGGCCAAAAAGCGATAATAAAGTGGAA